CAGCGTTCGAGGTCGTCCAATGCACGTTGCATGTAGACGACGTCGAGCTCTCGACCCAGGGAGAGGAGAGCCGTGTCATCGGCGTATAGGGATATCTTCACACGCTCAGGCCTCGGTAGGTCACTGGTGTAAAGTGAGTACAGCGTCGGAGAGAGCACTGCTCCCTGTGGCACTCCAGCGAGGATATCTCTATTGTCAGACAGAGAGCCCTCTACTCTAACCTGAAATGTTCTGTCTTTCAGGAAAGTCCCAATCCACCAGATCGGGCTCCGAGACAGGTGGAGCGCGGTTAATTTGTGCAGAAGGCCTTCGTGCCATACACGGTCGAAGGCCTTCGAGATGTCTAATAGAATAATGTGCACTTTTTTGTTATTTTAACTTTTGGATGGTGTTTTCGACCAGCCTTAGAGCCCCTAATATTCTCTCCTGAAGCCAAATTGTTCATCAGGCAGAACATTTCGGTCCTCAACTTCTTCGTTGAGCCTTTGAAGAACAACCAGCTTAGCCGCCGACGAGAGTAGACTGATCGGGTGATAGTTCTGTGGGAACAGCGGGTTCAGACCCTGTTTTGGGATCATGACGACGATCGCATGCTTCCACCTTCTGGAGAAGTATCTGAGGGCCAACGAACTGTTAATGATGTTCAAAAGGTTGTCAACGCAGTTGTCTGGGAGCCTCTTCAATAACTTGTTAGTTATTGAGTCGACCTCCGGAGCTTTCTTGACCTTTGCGGCCCTGATGTCAACTTCAGTTCTTCCACAGAAGCTGGACGGATGTTATCATCATCATCTTCCCTGAGGATACGGTGAACCCGGTCTTCCGGGTTTGAAGCTTTGAAGCAGTTTGCGACTGACTCTAGTATTAATCGAGAAATCATTTTCAGCGTCGAATTTGGGACGATATCAATCCACATGAGACCCAAGACCATCCAATGCATCCCGAAAAGTCACTGTTTGGTGTGGAATTTTGGCTGGTGGCATCATCGGTCCATATTCCTTCGACAACTTATTTGGGCCTGAATTGGATGATCTGGACACCAACGACATTCCACATTGTATATTCTGCATGAGCGATTTGAGGGCATAGTTATCTCACATGGAGATGATGTGAACTGGTCACCGGGATCATGTGATTTGACACCGTTAGACTTTATTCTGTGGGGTTTTCTTGTGTCGCAGGTATATGTGAATAAGCCACAAACCACTGCAGCTTCGAAGCCAACATAACCCATGCCATCGGTCAAATTCAACCTGATTTATGTGCCTGTGTCATGGAAAACTGGACGTTTCGAATGGACATTTGAACGATATTATATTCCACACATAATGGCATCAATAGGAATGAAAAATTTCGATGATATCTCATATACACTTTATTTTATTCAAATTTAAAGATGCTTTATTGTTTCCTTATGGTATTAAATTCTCTCTTCCGCTATTTTCGCTTCCGTATAGTGTTTATTTACAATACAATAATTCACTGCAATTTACATTTGTCCTTTCCAGTAATTCGACAAAAGCTAGTTACCATTCTGCAAGCATCAAATCATCTCTAGGAAGGTCAATAATGTAAATACACACGTTGGTGAATCCAAGAAATAATACTTTAATTCAAGCTCGCCCCTATAATTTTTCTCAATTTCTTGGTATCATTGTAAAATTTTGGTGGTGACACCACTATTTGAGTTGAGTTTTGCAGGAAATTACCCCAGTTGTGGATACACATTAATTTCGAAAATGTACGCCCAGGGTGCTGTGGTCACTGAAAAACATTTTCTCTGATCAATCAATCAATCAAACATTTATTGAATCAGTATTCCTTCACAATCACATTAGACAAAAAACATAACATCATAATAAAATACTGGCTAACCCGAAGAATCATTTCAACATATTCCATGTATATATATATATATATATATATATATATATATATATATATATATATATATATATATATATATATATATATATATATATATATATATATATATATATATATATATATATATATATATATATATATATATATATATATATATATATATATATATATATATATATATATATATATATATATATATATATATATATATATATATATATATATATATATATATATATATATATATATATATATATATATATATATATATATATATATATATATATATATATATATATATATATATATATATATATATATATATATATATATATATATATATATATATATATATATATATATATATATATATATATATATATATATATATATATATATATATATATATATATATATATATATATATATATATATATATATATATATATATATATATATATATATATATATATATATATATATATATATATATATATATATATATATATATATATATATATATATATATATATATATATATATATATATATATATATATATATATATATATATATATATATATATATATATATATATATATATATATATATATATATATATATATATATATATATATATATATATATATATATATATATATATATATATATATATATATATATATATATATATATATATATATATATATATATATATATATATATATATATATATATATATATATATATATATATATATATATATATATATATATATATATATATATATATATATATATATATATATATATATATATATATATATATATATATATATATATATATATATATATATATATATATATATATATATATATATATATATATATATATATATATATATATATATANTATATATATATATATATATATATATATATATATATATATATATATATATATATATATGTGTGTGTGTGTATATATATATATATATACAGGATGTGATTTATCGGAAATAGCAAAAAGTGACAAACCATAGACACGTGTTTCGGGCTTTTGGCCCATCATCAGTATGGTGTAGCCAAGTGCAAGGATAGGCAACACTTGGTTGTCAAAAGAACTACAAATGCACGGAGCCATCAGCAGAAGCCAGCCGCAACATTTATGATTTCAGTTGATAGATCTTGTGTTTACAAGAATACTACTAACATCACCACGGAGGCAGCTACAGCTACCTACGTGACATCCGGGTCCAGGAAATAATACAGATATAAATATTGTTGAGTGTCTTGATATGAATACAGGAGATGATTTATCGGACATAGCACTCAAAAAAGTGGCAAACCACGTATTTTAGGCTTTTAGCTCATAATCAGTATGGTGTAGCCAAGTGCAAGGGTAGGCAACCAAGTGTTGCCCATAAAATAATTAATTCATTTCTACTTTTATTAGATATCAATAAAATTTATTTTCTAAGCGCACATTTTTCAAATTCTGTCCGTTAGACCCCAAGTATCATACCTTTTCGGAATCAGCTCGTTACGGATTATCTAAAACTGACACCAAATATAGGGTGTTGTACTTAAAAGAATTACCGATGACGTCATCACATTAGTATGGATCACCCTGTAAAACTGAATTTTGTTGTGAAAAGTAGAATATCAAAATTAAAAATCGACGTATTTCAGGTTTTTGTAAAACGACCTTTGGTTTTGCAAATATCAAATTTATTCCATACTTTGCGGATACACTGTATAACCAAGCAAACTTGGAACCATCTTCAAACAAAAATTGTGGGAAAATTCGGCAGTTCTCTTTCCCAAAAACTAATATCTACTAAAAAATGTTTTCTTTTCAATTTGGACTTGGTGTCGTTCATGCAGAAATGCTTTTGATGAATTCAAGAAACACTCTCTCTAAACAAGGCAACACGTGTTGCGTTATTGTCGAGAAAAGATGTTTTTATTTTCATCAACCACCTTCTTACCTTTTTGACAGTTTGATTATCGATTCCTGTTTTATACTAGATGGATAATATATTCATAATTGGGAAAGAAAGTTTTTGGCATTCTACCAATCCATCTTGATACAAAAAAAGGGACGAGGGAATCTTCCAAAGAAAGGAAGAAAGTAAATAATTAAGAAAGAAAATAATTAACTCTATACATGGATGTGTAAATCACGCAAAGAAGTAACTTTCAGACACAAACTGAAAGAAAGTCCTCCTGAAACAGTTACTTTCATATAAACATTGAATTACACATCTAACTTGTAACTTTCAGGCACAAACTGAAAGAAAGTCCTCCTGGAACAGCTACTTTCATATAAACATTGAATTACACGTGTAATTCAATGTTTATGTTATTTGCATGATCTACACATCCATGTATAGAGTTACTTATTTTCAAATTGTTTACTTCCTTCCTTTCTTTAGAAGATTCCCTCATCCTTTTTTTGTATTTAGATGGAGTAGTAGAAAGCCAAAAACTTTCTTTTCCATAAATTAATCACTCCTAAAAATATAACCCCTTCAATTCAAATATTCAAGATTATTTTTCGAATAATACAAAAGACCACAACTTTTCTTAACCCCCCCTTTAGTAAGAATTTTGATGAGCCAAAAAATGTATCATTATACAGGGTGTGCCCCAAAGTTGACAAATGTCATTATATGCTTTGTAATTACTTGAAGTCCATTCATATAGGTATTGAATTTATTTTGTGAAAAAATACTTTCCTATGGTTTGTCAACAAACTTTCCAGAATGTCCTTGTTAATGTGTTACGTTACAATTCACCTGAAAACGTCAAAAAATTATGTACTTCCTCAACTTTCTCCAATTCAAAAAAGTAGGTACTTCACCAAAACATGACCCCAATCGATGAACCGCGACCCTGAGAACGGCGCATTCACCTCAAGGTGATAAAATACCCTCATAGGTCATGTCCGTGTTCCGAAAAAAGGGGTACCCGCAGACCAGCTGTAAATTTTTTGGGAATTTCATTTCATCATCGATCCCGATATCAATATCGAGCTCCCCCATTACAGTGTAAATACATACACCCAACCATACGGAAAAACCCATCAATTCATGCTTGCATCTTTATAAACTGGCATCTCCCTGCGACACACCACAGTCATGTTATTGTAACATCGTAGTTACCAGTAGATACGAATTTATCTCGAACTTTTTCAGTGTCACTCCGTATAATTGCTTGATCGGTGTTTATCAGTTGAAAGACCCGCGAAACCGGTTGACACGCCAAGGAACGTTTGTATATTGTTTCAAGTGGCGGAAGACAAGCTCAATTAAGAATATTCAGTGAATTCATTTATGATTCCGACTCAGTTGTGTCTGTAAGCAACAGTTACAAACAGGTGAGCAATCATTTCCTGTTTTATATGCGTTTTTACACCTACGTTTGTGATTTTTTTTCATTTTGGTCAGTGACAGCTAAATGGGAGGAGTATAAAACAACATGGCCCACTCGAATGTTGATAATTCTTCAAGTCAGTAATTTATTGTCAATAAAAGTGTATTATTTGAATTCAATTGAAATTTACTAGCGCTTCACGACACAAGGACTCGTTTTATCACAATCTTGATAATCATTTATGTTTTGGTAAAATAATTTTATTTGTTGGCCATGTCAAGAATTGAAAATAATGTTGCCAAATTTTGAAAATTGTATGCTCTCTCTCTCTCTCTCTCTCTCTCTCTCTCTCTCTCACTCTCTCTTTCTCTCTCTCTAATATTGGCTTCTTTAAATTTATTCATTTATTTACTGCACGACTAGGGATACAAACAGAATAAATCCAAAAAATATCCTCATTTTACATATAAAAAATAGTGAGTAAACAATATATAAACACTAAGTATTACACTAGTAACGAATATGATAAAATACGAAATAAAGAACATACGAAGAATAGATAACTAATTATCAATAAAAATAGATTTGACATAGTTTTTAAAACTAAGGAAAGGTAACGATAGTTTTTCAATATCATTGTTATTGAAGGATCTGACAATTCTGCATACAGGAGAGTTTTTACCTGAATTAGTTTTTCTATATGGAGTAGCAAAGAGATAATGGTTTCGCAAGACTTTGCAAAGTGCATTCATTGAAATTTTTGATATCAACTTTGGACAACCGACACGATTATTGAATATTTTGTACAACATGCATATATGTCCTATCTGTAAGACATAGCAAGGATTATTTTTTGAAAACTGGACAAAGATTTCCTTTGATTATAAAAATGTCTGTTTTTACAGACTAATTGTTTGACGAATTCATTTTGAGCATTTTCAATTCCCTGTTGTTACACAAATTAACGGTTTTCTCTATGTGTCGCATAAGATTACCTTCAAAATGTATGTAAACTGTATCGAACAAGTATTTGTAATGACATAGGTATTAATAAATACTCATTAATATTATATTATCTCTATTGAATTTTGATCGTTAGGAGAATCATAAATACTTGGAGAAGAAAGGTTTTGGCTTTCTGAGTACTTCTCCATCTTTATAGAACAAATATGGAAGAATCTCACATTCTTTCATGTGAAGATGGAGAAGTAGAATGCCATAACAATTCCCTGAATCTCAGACACTTCCTTAAGAGCTGGAAGCATGCTGAGATTATTATGATACCCAAAAAAGGCCAAGACCCAAGATTCCCCCAAAACTACAGACCTATAAGCCTGTTAGGCTCCATGGCAAAGGTTGCGGAGATAGTAGTCCTGCAAAGGCTGAACGAGGAGATCGATGACAGACAACTCCTACCGGACGAACAGTTCGGCTTCAGGAGAGCCCACTCTTGTGAACTACAAGCCCTAAGACTGGTTGAAAACTCAATCCAGGAGATGAATATGAGAAGACATGTACAAATCTTGCTACTATACATCTCGAAGGCCTTCGACCGCGTCTAGCACGAAGGTCTCCTACACAAGTTGATTAATTTCAACCTATCACTGGGACTAGTCAAGTGGATAGGGTCCTACCTGAAGGACAGAACGTTTACTGTCAAAATCAACAGCATTCGCTCACCGGTAAGACAAATAGAGGCAGGCGTGCCACAGGGTGCAGTCCTTTCACCCACGCTATACAACCTCTATGTCAGCGATCTCCCGAGAACAGACCATGTTAAGGTCTCTCTCTATGCTGATGAAACCGCCCTGATGTCCTCGTCCATGGCGAGAGAATTCGGCGTAGCATATATGCAGACTGCAATTGCAGCTCTTGAGACTTGGTTCCTGGACTGGAAAATCCGAGTGAATCCAGCAAAAACACAAGCGATAGCGCTAGGTAGGAAAAACGCCCACCCGAATCTCAGAGTTATCATGGCAGGACAAGAAATCGCCTGGAGCCCTCAGGTCAAGTACCTAGGTCTAACTATAGATCGCAGGCTTACCTGGGCCAAACACATCGAATCCGTGAAGACTAAAGTGAGTGAGGGGATAGCACAACTGTATCCTCTCCTCAATCGCAAGAGCAAGCTAAGTCTTAAAAATCAAGTCTTACTTTATAAGACTGTGTTTAAACCAATGATGATGTACGCCTCAGGAGTCTGGGGATATACAGCTAAAACACACGTCGAAATTCTGGACCGGGCCCAGAATAAAATCCTAAGGATGGCAACAAACGCTCCGTGGTACGTGCGGAACGTAAAAATCAGACGGAATCTGAATCTCCCAACCATTCGGGAGAGGTGAGGTAGCTGGCTAGCGACCTCGGAAAGCACAACTTGAACGGAGTTCAACAAATAACACGGCGGCGAGAACTGGTCTCGACCGTGCAACGCACCTCTCAGAGTTTAAACTAAGCCTATATCATAGGAAGAGAGACGAAAGAGTCAGGGATATAAAATCCAACACGACAACCAAAAGAAGACAACAAGAGTCGCCTCCATACTCAAAAAGTCTTTGACTCCTTCTCTCTCAAATAAACCGATAACCTGTAGGAGAATCCTCCAAATATACGAGCCATGTGAACCCGCAAATTCCTGCACTTTGTAGCTTTTGTAGTTTTATGAGAACTACAGGCTCAACTTGCCAACAACTTAGTTGAGTATTGTTTTCCTTCTTTTGTGTAGGGCTTAGTTCTTCCAATCTCATTAATGAAAATCTTTATGTCCCCTTTTTCCACACGTACAATTTACAGGAACATTTTGAGCAAACTGATATTATTTCCAGCTATCATAATATTCTGTATGCATGCAAGTGTGGTAGGTAATCTTGGTTTTAACTTCCCGGATTGTGGGATGACTTGTCAAAAGTCTTCTTTTTTCTGTGATCGATGCGCAAGCGAGTTTCTTATCACATATTGTATATTTGTCCTTCATATATACTGAGTTCTCTTTCAATTATTCTCAAACCGCAGTTTCGTTCATAACTCCCTGAAAAGTTTTTCCAACCCTCTCGGTAGGACGAATATGGCGACCGTAAATTGGCGTAGCGTGCGATACATTGCCCGAACAGAACATCCATTTTGATGAAATAATAATAATAATTTTATTAGTTGTTGAATGTTATATCCGTCCACGGTGATTTGGCAAAACAGACTAAATAAATTACAACTGATTTGACAGAGGTAGCTTCAACAAGATGGCCGTTATCAAAGTTAAGTCCCTGTTAAAAGACCCTGTATATTCTAATGTTTTCAGAACTTTACTGAATACACTAGTTCTGCAGATTTCCATATGCTAAACATATTTTCTGAGTCAGTTCATATTATTATTATCAAAAGTATTCAAACAACACTTAATCAGAAACTCATTATCCCTCTACAGCAAAAGACTTTTAGATATAGAGAACTTTCCCTGTAATAGTGAAAAACCCATTTATTTGGCGTTTTCTAAAAAAATCCTAGAAAGTACCAACAATAACTTTTATGTTAACCACAAATTATTGAATATGATAGTTGCCCTCGAAAGATGATATCTTTAATACGCCTTTGGAAAAAGTGATGAAAATCGTCATGACATTTTAAAATGATGTAACTTTGTCAACCATTCAAATTGAAATAGTTTTATTTTTTCCAGAAAATGAAGTTTTACATTCCCATCCTCTTTGTGTGTTTTCTCAGAATACATTCTACTTCAACAAAGTCAATTCTTGAGCAACTAATTCCCAAAGAGAAATTAGACAACTATGGTTTAGCCATAGAAGCCATATTCAGTTTAGGAATAAGACTCCAAGCAATTATGGACGAGTCACCAAATGCGAATTTCGTCGTTTCCCCTCTCAGTACCACAGCAATCATCAGTCAGCTGATGATGGGAGCAGAAGGTAAGAAACACATATTTATTTATTCGGTGGTCAGTTATGCATACATAGTTAGTATAGCTGATGTTGACAAGAATTTGTTCGGAAAAATATTTATAGACTGATTTACGGACTGCAATACAGACAGGTCACTGTCTACGAGGAACAACGAGAACTCTTCTAGCCAAATTATATTTTTGCCCACTTTCTCTGGACTATTCACAGATATAAAACCCGGAAAATGCTGGCATCACTTTTAATCCGAACGTTATCTTTGTAAAGATATTGATGACCATGATTTTAATCCAAACGTTATCTGTTTAATCTTACTTGGATATAATTTATCCCGTTGATTATCATTGCTTACTAATATTTTATTCTAGTTCATCGTCCATCCTGTCCTTTCCAGGAAGGTGGACAAGTCACTAGGAGACATCTCCTTTATATCGGCAGCTGAAGCCCAAGACTCGCCGAACACACACTCTCTTTGGCAATCTTGAGGTGTCTCACGGCGGCCTTCGTGAAGGTTTTGGAAGGTTGCGCGGCTTATTCAACCTTCTTGGGGTTTCCTCCGTGGAGGTGCTCAAGTAAGGGTGCTTTCCTGCAGGGGCAACCGGTTCCTTGTCTTTATTCAAGGCGGAGCTCTTGGCGCCCGTCGCAGGAAGTGGCCTTGCTGTTGGAGATGGAGGGTGCACTTATAGTTGCTGCCACTCCTGCCTCTATCGCTCTCTTTCTCCTTTTGGCCTCGGCGTCGCAAATGGGCTTACGCCTTGGCCTTTATATTATATCACGAGGTGATCTGCCATGTCCAGCCTCATTCTGAGCGGTAGATTGGAGTGGACATTTCTGTTCATCCCCAGTCACCGCCATAGATTGATATGAGCATTTCTATCCAGCCTCAGGATTGGTTGTTGTTTCATTCATGTGTAGCAGGGGAAGAGTTGGTCACTCTGGCAGAGCCCCGCATTACCAGAGGAAGGCTGATTATAATGAGGTTTCGCCCGGTTCCCCAAGGGGATCGTTCGTGACCGCATATCCTGCGGTCATTCAACTGTCGGCACGATTCCTTACACCTTAGCTTGGGCAGGCTGGTCCACGGTGGCATATTTCGCAAAGCCTTTTGGGGAGTTTTGGTTCCCCTCACCCTACTTATTTCTGCCACTGACCAAGAGTCCGGCGATCCCGTCCGTAAGGCCACATTGGCTTTCCGGACAGGGCTCCCAGTCCCCTGGCCGTTCCCCTATCCCCTAGGGACGCGCCCGATAGGTAGCTCATCCCACGGGCATCTTATCTTTATATTTACTATATATACTATGACCTTTGTATATACAGGGTGTAACTAAATAAGTGTAAAACATTTAAGTAGGTGATTCCTCATCGAAAAAAAGATAGGATCTTTTAGGATCTTTTATATAAAGAAATTTCATTGGAGCATCCCTTGTTAAGATACAGCTCCTTAAAAGGGGTACAAAAAATGTCTCTTGGGTTTTTTGCCCAAAATAAACCAGTTCGCAGCAAAAAATTATTTTACGAACAACTACAGAGATACATCGTCATAAATGCGAAAATACGAAACTAATCTATCTAGTAGGTCGCTATTAGCGATAGTGACAATTAAATTGGTATGAAGCTGTGAGTTTGTGAATTTTCGAAATTGAATTGATACTAATTGTGTGTTGTTGTTCTGTTTTTAATCTGTTACTTTAATAATTCACTTGTTATTAAAATGGCATACACAAATGAGGAAATGGCTGATATGCATTACGTTTATGGTCTGTCGCAGGGGAATGGGTTAGAAGCTTATTCTAGAAGATATGCTGAAATGTATCCTCAACGGCAGCATCCTTCACATAGAATATTTGCTCGACTTTATCAACGATTACGAGAATATAGTTCATTCGACAAAAGAACGCAGGATTGTGGTCGCCATCGAGAAGTACGAACACCACAGCTTGAGGAAGCAATACTTAATTGGATTGAAGAACAACCTACTACCAGTACTTGAAAGATTGCTTTCCAGCTAAATGTTGATCATATGACGGTATTTCGAATTTCAAAGGAACAACTCTTATACCCTTACCATCTGCAATGAGTACAGGCACTGTTACCGCGAGACTCCGAAACGTCTTGAATTTTGCAATAGGATGCTTTAAATGATTAGAAGAAATTGTGACTTTCTGAAGACGATAGAATTCACAGACGAATGTAATTTTTCTCGGGACAAGATTATTAATTTTCAGAATTACCACATATGGACTGATGAAAACCCTCACGCTATTGTCGAAACTAACCATCAAGACCAGTTCTCTCTTAACGTGTGGCTCGGAGTTATTGGGCCTCATTTTCTACCTACTCGATTAAATGGTGAGGCATACGTTCAATTTTTAAGAGAAGTGCATCCAGTACTGCTGGAGGAAGTTCCACCCGCCCATTTTAGTCAAGTAGCACGTCAGCATTTAACTGAAACATATGCAAATCAGTGGATAGGTCGAGGAGGACCACAGAACTGTTCCGCTCGATCCCCGGATCTCAATCCTCTCGATTTCTCTATTTGGGGCCATTTACAGCATTTGGTTTATCGTATTCCTGTTCGCGATGTAGAGGACTTAAGAAACCGCATTATTGATGCGTACAGGGTAATCAGAGAGACTCCAGGAATATTTGAGCGAATACGTGGCTCAATGCGCCGACGTCTAGACGCATGCGTAATGTCTGAAGGTAGACATATTGAACATTTACTATGATTTCTACATGTTGTGTGTTTTGTTATTAATAAATTAGTTTTGTTTATTACTCTTTAATCGTTTAATGCAGGTACTAACTACAAAATAATAATAAATTCAGTTCGCATTTATGACGATGTATCTCTGTAGTTGTTCGTAAAATAATTTTTTGCTGCGAACTAGTTTACTTTGGGCAAAAAACCCAAGAGACATTTTTTATTTAGAATGAAACAGGCTATAGGAAATAGATTTTTATGTGGTAAACAAATGATAAGACAAAAAGTTACATTGGAAATGAATTTTAGGGGTTGCGTTTTCCACCCCTTACAACCATGTGGTAAACCAAATAAATTACTGGCTAAGTGTCTTTTTGGTAGTACAAAACGTCCGGTTGATTTCAATATTGTAACTTTTTCAGTGCTTGTGAAAAAAATTGTTATACAAATTTTATGTACCCCCTTTAAGGGGCTGTATCTTAGGATGTTTCAATGAAGTTTCTTTATATGAAAGATCCTATCTTTTTTTCGATGAGGAATCACCTCCTCAAATGTTTTACATTTATTCAGTTACACCCTGTAGACTATGTATATAGTCTATATACAATGCTGTGACTTGTGTATTTTATAATAGATCAGTTTAACTTCAGTTGCAACACGGTTGTAAAGTTGTTACCTGCTGTTTATTTAATAAAACAACACAACATAAGTACCATAGGCAACGTTGCTGATGGATATGTAAATTGCAATTTTGTCAGTCTTTTGTAAATCAAACAAAATAATGTGAAGTAGATATTTGAATAGAAGATATTTTATTACATATTTTGTATAATTAATTCAATCTGAACCTGCTTTCTGTTTTTATATGCATGCACGAGTTTTAAACTGCACTTTATCTACCTGGAAACAAAGCAACATAAACACAATAATGAAACAGTGTGACATGAACTATTTCAAAATCATTTTGTTTGTTCACTTTGCTCAAATAGCATTGCTTGTTAATTTAAAACTAGTTACAAACAAAATCGCCAAGTCACAACAAAGTTATTCATTCGAAAATAAACGATTACTAGATAATAATCAACAATAGACAATATTAACGGTTAATTTATTTTTCAGGTGTGTTTCAAGACCAACTCTACAAGCTACTTTCTCTCCCGAAACCGGACCATTCGTACATGGTGAACAACTATGGTAAAGACGGTAATGAAACCAGACTCTTACCATACGGCAATTTCCATTTACAACTTTCTGCATTGCTCAAGACTTTGCAAAGAAGGAAACCAGGAGAGAAATTCGATCTTAATCTGAGCAATGCCCTTTTCTACAACCAGGACATCGAATTGAAAAACGACTTCATGAAGTACCTTTACAAGTTGTATGATACAGAAATCAAGGCGCTAAACTTCTACAAGGATACCTCAAGGTAAATATCTATAAATGTGGTTACTGTTGTGCATATCGAACGTGTGCTTTATTAACAACTGAATTCAAAGCGCAGATAGTCATAAATTTGCCTGATTGTAAACTCAATCAACACAAGCAACTTTGATAATCCTAAACATCGAAGCAAGGTTAGAGGCTTGTGTCTGGTGTATAGGTAGGTAGGTCCAAAGCGGGTGGGTCTATTCGACTATGTTCTGCATCCCGCGAGTGTTTATAGTAGCCTACACCTATTCAAAGACCAAATAAATCTAGCTTCTTCAGGAAGCCGATTACTTCATTTGGTAAGTGATCTTTTGGGTCAGCCCGCAAGAATGGGAGTCTACCAAACGCTGGTCCTGAATTTCCTGGTGAAGAATAATTAACTCCGAACTCGACAGACTGGTACATTTCCCTCAATCTATTGAGGACCTAATCGGAGGTCGGCCTGCGACTACCTTCACCAGGTAGGTAAACTACGAATGTGTGACTGCAGGCTACTATCTTTAGACTTTTCCTGATCCTTTCAAGTAATCTGTAGTCATCCGGGCTAGTATTTGCAGCAGTAGATCTGGTGATACATAGATTGCGGGGCTTTTTGTCTATGGTTTGGATAAATCATCGGTAGAGCTCAAAAATTTGGTGCAAGGCAGATTCAGATGATATTCTACTCTTCCTGGCTGCACCTAGATCACCACGACAACCTGCTTCTCATCCGGTGTAATAGAGATAACAGTTCAGGTCGTTCAGTCGACACTCATTTCCTCTGTAGACTCAGTGCCAGTTACTTCACCTGGTGTACCTGGTGTACAGATACTTTCACAGAAGTGTTCTGCTGGGCACGACAGGAGTAAAGGTAATCGCATTGCCGACTTTTTAGCCATGGAAGCGGCTGGACTAAGAATTTTAGGACCCAATGGCACCTATGACAATAGTGATAAAGTGACAATTGTGGAACTAGCCATGCTCAATCCCTAAAGAGATGGAATGAAATCAAAAGATGCAATCTTGCCAGAATCACCCTGGGCGACCCTGGGAAGCTGGCGCCGAAGAAATATCTGGCGATGACCAGGAAAAATCTACGCCTTACAGTAGGATTTCTGACTAGCCACTGTCAACTAAGGAAACATCTCCATAATATGGGGCTATTGGACACATCTCTATGCAGGATGTGTGAACAGGAAGATGAAACTGTCAGGCATGTCCTATGTGAGTGTCCGGAGTTATCTTCAATAAGAGTGTGTGTGTTCGGCGAGTCTTGGCCTACACCTGCCGATATAGGAGATGTCACCTAGTGGCCTGTCCACCTTCCTGGAAAGGACAGAATGGACGATGACCTAGGAGGACAACTCCTCGGGAGGATGTACAATGGGTCACATATGTGCTGTGGGCCTACCCTCACTCTCCCTACTCTACAGATACAGTTACAGAAGTGTTCTACTGATTTAGTCCGCTAGATTACATAGGTACATGAAATACGAGGCAGACTGTAGTTGCTCGTCGCTTCGAGGTTCAACTCGATACACCTCGAAGTACTCTTTTAGGAACCGTTTCACAAGGTTTCCTTGTAAAATAAAATTTCAGATGCTCTCAGAGGCCTCGAAGATCTCCATGAAGAAAAATCGCTTTGATACGAAATAGTTTCATTTGATTAAATATATCCAACGGTGTCTAACAAATATTTACGAATATTATTTTCCTAAGTGTATAGAAACGATGAAAGAATTGAAAGCTACTCAATGTTTACAAATTTTACACCAATTGAATTCACTATAGACCTATTCAAAAGATAAAAAATTTTGATTTTCATATTGATTTTTTCAAATTATTTCATCGAGAGTTATTTTTTGCTTCAGCCTGATCAACTCCTGGGCTTCGGAACACACCAACGGTCTAATCAAATCGGTCCTCAGCAGTGCCCCACCACCCAGTACCACCTCCATGTTCCTCAATTCCATTTACTTTCGCGCCGACTGGGAAACTCCCTTCTCCGATCTTCTGAACACTCGTGGCAAGTTTCACACCAATGAAAACACCACTGTGGATGTAGACTATATGATGGGAAATATACCTCTAATTCCGTACACCGCCACCAAAGACTACAAAATGATCTGCCTGCCGTATAAAAATAGAGAACTAGGGATGTACTTATTTTTTCCGAACCCGGATAATGAGAATAAGTACAATATCAGAGCCTTCACCGAGAAGTTGAATCCACAAGAAATTTTCTCAGCGATCGCAAAATCCAAGCTGCACGACGTGATCGTGAAAATACCCAAACTATCGCTTACCAACAGGGTGAACATTCTAAAACCGCTCCAGAAGTACACAGAATACAAAAAAGTCAGCATAGAATCCAAAAGTGGGAATGGTAATGCTATCGACGATATTCTACACAAAGTTAACGATTTCAAAAACTTTTCCACGCCAGTAGTGCATGATATCATGTTAACAGGCGCTGCTAAGGGCGTAGACCTCAGAGTTTCCGATATAGTCCAACAGATGGTGTTCTCGATAAACGAAAAGGGAACAGAAGCGGCTGCCATATCGCTTGGCATTACTGATTATATGGGTGGTGCTAAAGTTATGGTTTTCAACAGGCCGTTTGTTTTTTTCATAAGACACGAAGAGACCGACGCTCTGATCTTCTGGGGAACTATTGCGGATCCTTCGAGGAACTGATAGTTCTTATTCCTTTTAATTTGTTGAACATTGTGATTTTTGAATGAAATACCCGCTATTTTCATTCGAGAATGTGACTGATACTCATACAATTGTTTCAAGTTGTTTTTATTATTTATACTAGTTTAAGTGACTTTTTTGTTATGAATATAATTATTTTTATAAATGTTGATTATTGGTCCATCTTTACTGACTCAGTATTTCCCATTTCATATCATCATTCCATTTTGTAACAGTTCTAGTCGTCCCAGTATGTGGAGTGTAAGAAATCGGAAATGTTGTCTCTATACTTGTATCAAATTGTTCAGCTGTCACGATTCTATGATGTTCATCAATATGTATTTTTGAAATATATTTGACTCTAACTGTATCTTTAATTACTCTGAAAAGTACACCTCAAACTAATCCAATCAACACAGAGACATTCTCATCTTGAAGAATAAAATCTGTTTCCTTGAAAATGTTTTGGTCGAACTGACTATAGATTAGTCTTTCTCAAAGTGGGCGATAACGCCCCCTTGTGGGCACTGGAAGTCTATAGGGGGACAGTAAAGGGCACAGAGAAGATTAGAAGGCATTGAAATGGTTTAGGGGGGCGATGGCTAAGTTAAAAAATATTTTTTTGCTTTTAACACAAACATCTAGTGGACTAGACAGTAACTATTTCCTGTCCGATAGTTGTTAAACTGTACAAAAGATGGCGGTAAGCCTCAATGTGAAGCGAGAAGTTTCTAGTCTCCATTCTCGAAAGTACTAGGCCCGCCCGCTGCCATATAAAAAAGCGCGCGCGCCATTCAGCCAGTATATTCGACGATATTACGACTAGCTAGGTAAAGTGCTGTACGTGCTGTGGTGAATACTGTGAGTGGTGTCATTAGTTTTTAATACCCGATTCTTCACTTCGGCATTTTTCAAGACATAATTATGTCGGAAGCAAAAAAGAAGAAACGGCAGTATAGCGCGGAATATATAAAATACACATCCATCTTCGTTTATGTGCCTTCTTTGTCAAAAAAAACATTTTCGAATGAAGCGATGAAACCCTCAAAGCTACAAGATCGTTTGAATAAAATGCATTCGGATAAAAAAAAACAAAAATGTGACTTATTTTCAAGAACTGGAAAAGAAACACTCAGCTCAGCCAACTGTGTCAAAACGACTATGGACTCCGAGCTTCCTACAATATCTCCTTGCTAATTGCTCAAACAGGTAAACCTCACACTATTGGAGAGGATTCAATTATCAATATAATTATATATAATTATCAAATATATCAAATATATATAATTATCAATAAACCAGCAGCAGTAATTCGAAAAATTCGTTTGAGCAATAGTTCCGTGTAAAGACGAATTGATGAGATGGCTGAAAACATTGAAGAGTCATTGTGCAATCATCTGAAGACTTCTAAATTCTCAATTCAGTTGAATGAGTCACTTTACCAACCAATGAAGCATTGTTGTCATACGTGAGATTTATTAAAAATGAGAAAATATATCAAGAACTACTATTTTCCAGAAATTTAGAGAAGGATACAAAAGGAGAAACCATATATAATACAATGGAAATTGCAGATTGCCGAACGCGGTGACTAACGGCTGTTTTTGAGTAAATTCAAGTCTGATATTAACAAACAATACTCCAAAGAAGGTCTGATCTGAGCTCTATAAAGCATCAAAAGTTGCTGAGGTATGTACAGTTTTCTGGGTCGGAAGTGTTCCAAACTTTTGAGATGATCAATAGTACAAACATTTTGAAAACGTTGCCAAGTTCCTAAATAAATGGTCCAACGTTTTCATGTAGTTTATTTCAAAAAGGACAATAATCTCATATCAATGTTTCTATAATACTCCCTAATGTAAACAGTATGAAGGAAATAAGACAATAGAGTTAAAACATTCAATACAAAACTAAAAATAAAACTATTCGAATATCTATATATGTATATATAAAAAAATCTCACTGTACATATCAGTAAACCATATAAATAAATTCAATAATTACACAAAAAAATCATGCTACCCTTACTTTTCTACTTATTCTGAATTTTCCGAGTCTACTGAAGCAACAAATATTTCACTTTATTTTTTTTTACATTTTCAACGTCCAACGTATTATAAAACCAGCATCGTAATTTTCATATAGATAAATTTATAGTAACTTACAATCTATATCAGCAAGTGAATATATGCTAAAACAGTCTTCGCTTTAAATCTTGATTCGACTAGCGATGGTTGGAGAACAGCCTCTAAAATCGGATCAGAATGAAAAACGAAAACTAGTTCAAAGTGAACATATTTTTCTACAGTCTTAGTTCAGTCCGAAATGTTCAAGCTCAACACTGTCTATTCCAATAACCTCCAAAATAAATATTCCTACTCGACAAATTTAAATGAACTAATGAAAAAACTAAAGATTATTTTTAAATTCACAACTCTTTTTCTGTAAAACTTTTGACAATGTTGACTATTCAATTCTACTGAAAAAATTTGATAGTGTATCAGTCACTGTCGAAATTAAACACAATGGTTAAATTGAAATGGATATTTTAACACATGGAGTCCACAGGGATCAGTATTGGGACCTCATTATTTTTTATGTATATTAATTCTATTTCATTGTTGAAGTTGAAAGGATCAACTGAACTACTTGCAGATGATACTACCATTACTTATTGTGGATCTGACTTTGATTTCATAAAAGATGAAGTAATTCATCACAAACCCACTATTTTTTAGGAGAATCCTAGAAACACAAAGGATATAACAAAATTTCAAAGTTTTTTTTACCACGCAATTTGTTTATGAGGTATTTATCTCAGAAAAGTACCGCTATATTTGTTAAGTGATATACTAAAGAAAATGAAAACTACTAATAAGTATCTTCTTTTTTACAGACACATTTAGTACCCAAACATTATTTTTAGCAAAAATCCTAGATAATATATTTGACAAAGAGATCTTTTGTAAAGACTGAACAGTTTCGAAAATATGTTTACTTTCGCAAGTAGTGTTAGTTTATCGCAATTAAAATAATACCTACTTAATTTGTTTAGCGCATTCCAGATTTAGAGTGTGCGATTAACCACTGAAGTGTTATATCAATGTTATCTTTTTCTTTACATGAAATGGAGTAACAACATATTTCACGATCTTGGATTGCAGAGAGATTCCTGAAAGCAAAAATAATTATGTACCAGATTTTTCAAAAAGGACTTTTTGACTGTATATTATGATTATTTTGTAAGAGAATCAAAATTATGCAGGTTACCTTTTATATAAAAAAAAGAGAAAACAAGGAAATTTAATGGGTTATGAAACAATATTTTCATTGATTTAGAAACATTTGATTTCATTTCCTTATATGAAAAACAATGTTTTTTGTTTTGAGGTGGGAGAACTCATCAACTGAGCTAGATCAGAATATAATCAAATTATATTGTATCCCCCACACTTCCAGTAAAATATCAATTTTATTGCGTTTTAAACACACTGAATTTATATATATGATCCTTCTTTGCAAGTGTTTCATCACATCAAAAAATGGAAAATGGTATATACTTACAGAGGCTCACAAGTAATAGAGCATATCAGGACAACTTAGTCCAATAAATCGAATAGTTGTAATAGTACTGAAAAAAAGGCTATTGACCATTAATGTCTATGGTTTATGTCTATGAAAGTGTCAATATTTGAGTTTGAGTGAACTCTAAACAAGAAAATATTTTTACTAATACATTTGTTTTAACAAAATACAGTTATATCTGAATTTATCATGAGTGGTTTTCCTCTTTTTAATTTAAAATATTATTTTTTTTCAACTTTTTAAAAACTATGTTTCTGCAATTTTTCTAATAAACCAACAAATTCATTGATAAGTCTGTCATTAGTGTGTTCTCATTCCATTGATGAAGCAACATCAATAGATAATTTTTATTGATTTCCTATATAACATAAATACATAAGAGATTATTGTATCCATACACAAATGAGTAAACAGATGGAAAATTTGTTGATGAATTAATCAGTAAACATGAACCTTGTATAATACACTTTATGAGTTAATTTGAATATATTTTTTTTGGAAAACTACTTGGGATACTTACATTCTTTCTATAAGGCCGTTTTCATCTAAAGCCTGTGGTTTGTCCCTTTTATTACCCAACACTAAGACTGGTATACCAGCTAGTTGTGGTTTCTCCAATAAATTGTGGAGTTCATTTCTTGAAGCCTCGATTTTTTCTGAATCGGCTGCGTCTACCATATACCTGAAACCCAAAATAAAACAGAAATCACTTCTATTATCTGATCAAATAGGGAGCATAAATTATGATAATGATATAAGGTAGTAACATCAATTCACTTACACAATAGCATTGACTCCTCTGCAGTATCGTTCCCACATTGATCTGAATCTTGGTTGGCCCCCAATGTCCCACACTTTGATTGTTACATTTCCTTTGGTAATTTTTCTCATGTTGAAACCTACTGTAGGTATCATATCTTCGCTAAACTGTCCAGACTGAAATGAAATTATTTCTCCACAATAATCAAATACGAATAATTGTCAACAGTGGTTACTCACAGCAATTACATTGACAAAGGTTGTTTTTCCTGAATATTGAAGACCAACCAATGTGAGTTCCATTTCCTCTTTCCAGAATAAACTTTTAAACCAATCCAATATTCTGTTCATTAATGCTATCATCTTGAAATGTTTTATTTGATCTTTGAGGACCTTTAACAAAATTTAATAAACAGAACCAAAATTGACACCCAATTTGTTTTCAACACTTGACAAGTGTCAAAGTTGAAGATTCGTCACAATCTACACTTGACCGCAGACTCGCAGACATCCAATAAAGCACGCAATACTCAATACATGAAGACCTGACACAGAGTCGATTCTTTGATGATAAACACAAAACAAATTCATATATACCACCCTGCGACAAAATACAAACTGACGGACAAATAACATAAGAATGAGATAGGAGGGTAAAAAGTGTTGAAATTTCAATTAAATTGATTGATGTAGCCTTTATTTCGTGGAATTGCAGTAACGTTAGTCACGAATACGAGTGGTAAAAAACATACAATGCAAGGATAACACAAAGAAAAGTTCCAGAAATCAAGGTTGTATGTGACAACAACAAAATATCTTAAATTTTGATGAAATATCGTCCCATGCCAAAATCGTGACTCAACAACTTGCAAAAGCAATCATATTTGTTTGAAATGTCGCTCTAGAAATTATCTTTTGATGACTTGAAGTTATAAAGGTATATGAACGGTATTGTGAACATGAATAGTATACCTATGAATGATACCAGCAGCAAAAACAAAATACTTTTTTCATTACTGTCCAAGTGGTTCGGTGTCGCGGAATGAATGTAAATATATAATGCGTTATTCTGTATTGGTTTTTTGAACGCACCTTTTTAAAATGCTGTCCCTGTTATCTTTCAAATTTTACCGCCATCTGACAAATCAGAAAAATGAAAGAAATTAGTCAGATCTGAATTTTGTCATCATGTATTTCATATGAAATATTTTCATATACATTCCATTCACCATATTACATAACTATAATCGTTTAGTGGCTGAGGTTAAATTCGTTTAACGAAAAGTTGGTTTTGTGATATTTCTGAGGACTTTCAATCAGCGAAAATGGCGACTCCCGTTTATATTGAAGAAGAACTGGGCAGAAAATGGGATAAATGTTTATCGGATGGAGTTCTTAAATTCGGTAAGAGCTAACCTACTACTTTCAAAACCGAATTACTAGTAAAAAACATCTCTTTTTTACTTTCGGTTATATTATAGATTATGTCATCAGTTAACCTAAAAATATCAATATTTTTCAGGTGGTGGCCTCTTACTAGGTTCAGTATTTTCTCTTTTATTTTTCAAGAGAAGACGATGGCCAATTTTGATGGGAGGTGGTTTTGGTATCGGGATGGCATATTCGAACTGTGAGCGAGATATTAATGCAACTCTGAAAGGTTGCGATAAATGTGCACAGAAGCCTACAGCTAAGTAGCTCCGTACTGTAAGTTCTCGGATAGAATACTGCCTCCTGTGTGCTCGTGGGTGAAGTAAATTGGAAAGTAGTTGTAAATATAAAATTTGTTACACACTCCTATACTTTTAATTTCTACAGTTTTCAACTTATATTTATTATTTAATGTAAAATAAAGCTGCTTAGCTGTTGATTATTTTTTCTTAATGTCTCTGTCAGAAAGGGTATTCCTTATTCAATTTGTTGAAGGGAATATTTTCAGGTGAGATCCTTTTTAGAGAAAAAACCTTTTAGTCTTCTTCTTCGTCATTACATAGAAATTGGGAAACTTCTGGATAAATTAATTTATTTACCCTTTCCTCAGAAGTAGATCAAAATGTCTTCTTGCATAGTGATCTTACTAAATCTCTGCAATTGTTCAAAAGTTTATGGTGTGCATCAAAAGCATTCTTTTAGTCTAACAAAGCATCTAATACCTTAACTCTGTACTAGTATTTTTTCACCAAGATATTTAAACGATCTGGAGAGCAGACTGGTAAATTCAAAATTGGCCTTTAATTTGTCATTCAATATCTTTTTTGATTATCATTTGCTTTATGCAAAACTTCAAATGTTAACTCATCGTTCCTTAATATTTTGAAAGGAATTGAAAAAAAACACTTGTATCAAAAGAATTATATATTACGAATCGTTTAGCAAAATGGCACTGGAGCCGAACTAAAAAGAGTCCTACCTAACTCGATTTCTATTACAAAAAATAATAAAAACAAAATCACAAGATTATTAACCAAATCAGATCATTTTGTACTAAACATGTGACACAAACACTGAATATATTTACAAGAATTAAAACAAATTTTTGTACACAATAATTGTACCAGAACAAGTCACCACTCAAAACACTCAGGAATTCAATACAAATGCTGACTAGATCTGAATTTATAACACTATATATTCAATAAGTTAAGCACACAAAATAATGATTACTAAAAGATGTTGTTCATTTAAAATTGCTTCTACCCCTATTAAGTGTAGTTTTTGATACCTCGTCTAGCTAACAATCCACTTGAAAACTTTCCAATATGAAAGTGAAACTATTCATACAAAGTCTATTCTCTATTAGTTTATAAGATTATATAAATAGTATTTGACTAGAATAAAATGAAATTATCGTTGAATATTCATCAGCCATATTTATAAGATGATGTATAAAAAGATTTATGGTTATCCTGAAGGAAGAACGCTCATCTCACTTGAATTGCTAAGCTGTGAAAAACTTGTAGAAGAGCTCTGTCGCTGCTGGCAAAAGGGTCATAGCATATGTTCTTGATTCGTCCCAGAAACCGCTCAAGAACAGAACACTTCCAAATTATATTTATTTTCAAAACTCTTCAACCGTAGATCTGATGATGACGTGACTGAAACTTTTTCAGATCGCCCTTTACTACACTAAATCTACAAAAGTCCACAAAACTTATTCTTTCAAGGTATTGTTACTGAACACAAAAAGGAACAAGCCTCATCATTTCAATTATGGCACTCATTTTTCAAGAAAATCATTCCTACAAACACCAATGAGGAGTTGTGATTATTTTCAAGATCTTGTCATTAACATTGAAAAAAATCATTCAGAAATACACTAGTTATCGCCTGAAGATGATTGCAGATAGTAACAACCGAAATGTCATGAAGTAGCTTGTAGTAATAGCTTATTATTTATTTTTTCATCATTATTTCGTTCAACTTACAAAATTTATTAACACTCCGTTTATTGTTTATCTCGTTTATTAATTCATATCCATGTCAGGTCACAATAATTTGTTTTCTTCAGAAGTTAGCATTCTCATATTTTTCACATGTTGATTGTCATGTGAACTGACATGTGGTCCACGTAACTAGTTTGCCATAAAGCCCTGTGACCTTGCATATGGCTCTCATCGCTCAATATGGGTTTAGGCACTCAGTGCATATATTTCATTGTAGCTTATAGATTGTGTGTGTGTGTATTTCGAAAGGTTTCCGTGGTCAGCAATCAATCTGAAGTCCGAGTTGAACCGCCTCAGAATTTTTGGCTGTTCGACGATCCGGCTTCGCCATTTTCAAGAAACTATGACTACATGGAGGTCTCAATCTGCATACTCCTCAGGTAGTAACACAATTTAGGAGTTTTGTGACTTGATGGACGGTCAACAAAACTAGGGAGTAGGAAGTGTAGGGGGGGTAGCTTATTGAAAATGGCTTCAAAGTCGAAGCCGACACGTCGAACTACTAATAACACCAGAAGCGGATCAAGCCGCAATATGTAGAATATGAGAGTAACCTTCTGACCCATATGGTTCACTCGCGCCACAGGTCTCGAGAGCCTACTGTTGAGTCTCAAATTCAAAGCGTTTTTGGAGAAGGGAGAGAAATAAGTAAAATAAAATTTTTGTGACATTGAAATTAGACAATTACAAAGTAGCCATCTAGTGAAATGTAGGGACCTGACTGGCAAAATACAACCGTTTCATTTGGATGGTTAACGTATCAAATTCAATACTCATTGTTTATTTTTTATGATTTAATCCTTTTTTTAACCGAATCGTTTGAATATGTTAGTTCTGGTATTTAATATGAACATTGGATTATTTTTTTTTTTCAAATATGTTCAAATGTTTATAGATGAGTTTCAAACTTTCAGCATTGCTTACACAGCTTACACATATGCTTACACAGCATATTATAAAATATTTAGAATGTGAAGGACTTTCTGAAAATACAAAGCAGCTGTACTAATAACAATGATAACTTTTATCTATATGTCACTTCTTTCACCTTCACAGCAAAAACTAGAATTTGTAATTTAAATTGATAACAAACCAAAATTGAGCAGCAATTAATAATCAGTTCAGCACTAAATCTAAAGTTTCATAACAAAAAGTCCAACTATTTTGGACAATAACACCCCTCACAAAGGCATTGTAAACAATATTTCCATACAACAGGGACTTGAACAGAAACAATCGGAAACCAAAATTTCCTATCAACCAATCTTTGGCAAATGCAAAGAGCACTGAAAAATACTGGAAGGCTTGGTTTTTTTGCCTGTTTCAAACATTAAATGAAACTCAATTTTATATCGCAACCAATAAAATGGTTTGTTAACGAAAACCAAAAGCTTTACCGACAGCTTTTTTATTTAATAGGAAACTCCGGCCAATAATTGATGTGGAAACGCTGTGTAGAACCTTCAAAAAGACGGTCCAACCAATTGGAAAATCCGTCCAGTAAACTTCCTTGGAGTATAACCTCATCTTCTGAGTCGGAAGTATCAGAATTTTGAAATCCGATAAAGGCTCCTCCTTCGCAGTCTATTTCTTTAGGTACACTACTCACAACTTTTGCTCCCTAAAAAAAAATGACAATTTAAAACTTCAATTAACTCAGATAAAGAATAATGAAATGTTGTGTTCCTCGGGGTTCACTCTTTGGACCTGTCACAACCACCACTGCATGGCAAGCCATGAAAGCAAAAGATTTACAGTCGATGGTGAGTGATGATATGAAGGGAACAGAAAATTGTGCAACTAGCACCAATATTAAGAACACAAAGTTGGTTGCTATGTGATTTAGTGTATTTGATCTCACTCTAGATAAGAATATAATAGAAACCAAAATTAGATGAACATATCCTGACACTCAATAAAAATTCCTTTCATTCTGTTGCTCTATAATATTAATGTGAAGTGAGACTGTCCGCAGAATAAATTGTATACAATGTATCACTGAATCTCATTTGAGGTGAAGTTATTTCTTGGTGTGTACACAATAAAAAACTTTTTCACACTACATTAGTTCAAGTTCAATAAACCCCTTTCACAATACACTTCTGATCGATTGAATTGAACCTGCAAAAAGTTCAATCATTAATATAAGCTTCTATTCATACCTTTTTCTTTTTTCTCTCTGTGTGTTTGGCGTGGAACACACAAAAATATTTCCTGTGTCCGTTCAGAGACAACACTGTACCCACACAATTTCGAGGGTTGATATTCAATTCCGTTTCTTCTGGTAAAGACAGCTGCAATAGCTCCTTGTACCATTTAAGGCCCCTTTCAATGTACATGTAGGAAAACATCAATGTCTTATTTCTGAAAAAAAAAGATATGAATATTTTTGTGAAAACCTTCAAGATATTGAGACAAATAAGAGAAATGAGGTGATTTCATTCAGAAATATTATCCTCTACACAGTAAAAAGCCAAAACTTTGCCATTTGTTATAAACATTTATATTGTACTCTTCCAACTCAAGTGGATTTGATGAAATATCATATAACCTACTAAAAAAATCGTATGCAGGCTTATGTGAACCATTGGCTTTTCTCATCAATCTTTGTTATTCTGAAGGAATTTTCCCAGAATGCTTGATGTTAGCTGTGGTTCTGCCATTATACAAAAAAGGTGATTTTGATGACTTTTCCAATTATAGAGCCATCAGTTTATTGTCAAGTCTCTCTAAACTCATTGAAATGGATATCACTAATCAACTCTCATCATTCCTGTGAAGTCAGAGACTGTTATCCAGAAATCAACATGGATTCGTTAAAATAATGAGCACAGAATCTGCTCTGTGTGATTCTCAAAAATGTATTGTAGACAATCTTGATAAGGGAAAATATGCTCTCGGTCTTTTCATTGACTTTTCAAGAGCTTTCGACTTAGTCAATCATATGCTTTTATGTAGTAAGTTAGAATCGTATGGAGTTAGGGGGATACCGCTAAAATTATTTGAATCATATTTAAATGGCAGAAGTCAGGTTGTTAGACTGAATGGAGTTCTGAGTAGTTACTGTGAAATAAATCGAGGTGTACCTCAAGGATCTGTATTTAGACCTTTATTGTTCAATATATTTGTAAATGATATAATCCGTCTAATGGAAAGAAACCACGATATAAAAATAGTGTGTTATGCAGACGATACCAATTTACTGATTTTTGAAAAAAACATAGACATACTACTGAGTAAAACTGAGAAGATTTATGAAGATATCATTCGTTGATCTGAAAAGAATTGTCTGTTACTGAATCACAACAAAACAGTCACAGTATTTTTTGGGCGCTCCAAACAAAGATCACCTGTGTTATTCAAAAATACAGAAAAACAAATGACTTGTAGTGATTAGGTGAAACTTTTGGGAGTAATTTTCGACAAACATATGCAATGGGCAAGTCATATAGAACTATTGTCTAATAAACTGAGAAGTAGTTGCTACAGCATAAAGTATATGAAAGACCACTGCAGCAAAAATGTCTTGCTTACGTTCTACTTTGCAGATTTTCACTCC